GCAGATGCACCAATTCCACTGGCATACCACTTAGGCGCACAGAGAACGGAACCAGTCACCTCCTTGACGATTTACATAACACATTATCATCTTGTCGGTAAGTATCCTGCCAATGGGTCGTAAATGCACATACGGAAGTGCTTGTATGCTCTGGCAACTGCTCTCAATTACAAAATATTTATATGGAGCGCTGTTTCTTTGGTAGACCATCAGCCCTGAGCACATGACCATCCAAGTGTGCACCCCGTCCCAGGAGGGGTCTGTAGTCATCTGTACAGTGGTCTGATCTCAGTGGAAAAGGATCCTCACTAGTGGATTGTGTGGCTCGACCCACCACTTGAGGGAAGCGACTACACTAGGTGGAAGGGAGATGTGTTTGAGGACATTGTGCCTTGATGGGGCACATATAGAGGCTAGCCAATGTTGGAGGCACCAGAAATGTCGCCATGAATGATATAACTACATATGTTGTTGCTACCCGTAGCCCGCTAAGGCTCACAGAGGGGCTCTTCCCCTTCACCTACGCAAGTCCTCGAAGTCCTGGGTCTTGAGCCTGTAGTCAGAACAGAACCGGGGGTTGATAAAGTGGTTGCCCTCTTCAGGGTTGGCAGTCTCTAGTCATGGGCTCAAGCCAATGCTCAGGCTGAGACAACAGCCGAACGCTATAAGGCTCCGGCTTGGTCAGAGTGGGTGGCAAATAAGCAGTGACTTAGCAAGGCCCAAGCCCTGATTCAGGGCAGAGCAGCAAATGCACAGTTAGTGGCCCAGGCCCTGGTTCAGGGTGGGGACAGCAAATAAATGGGCACAGAAGCCCAGAATACAGTTCACAGCCCAAGCCATGGTTCAGGGTGGGCTGGCAAACCAAACAGCCAGTGGACCAAGTCCTGGTTCAGGGGACAGCAGTAAATCAAACATAGTTAGTCTATACAATTAGGAGTTTATAATAGCCCAACAGTGGGGTCTCCTTATTCGGGGCAGAGAGCCAGCAAACACAAGTGGTTCACCTGAAATGGCAGAGGAGAGAGATTGCTACCCAGGGGTTGGATGGCAGGGTGGGAGGGATGCAGGCCCACCCACTCCACTGTCCCCCAGCCCAGGGCCCTAACAGTAGCAGAGCAGTCCGCTGCTGAGTCAGTGGGGCTCTAGACTGCAACATGCTGACCTTGGGTCTGGCTCAGCCAATCTGTTGTTGGCTATTCATGGGCTACTTCCGTTCCCCTCCTCTGCGCATACCTGGTCTCCCAGCAAGTCTGCTAGGGTGTTGGGGAGCAACTCTCCAGTAACAGTCCCGGTCATCCAGGTCACTCCTCAGCCTTTGGCAGGCACTGTGATCAAGGTCAATCCTCAGACTCTGGCAGGCACCTTTTGGGCCCTGGCCAGTCTTCAGCTTCCCAGCACGGGAGCACAGGGCAGGCATCTTGTTCTCCTCGTGTCTGGACTCTGCCTGAACTCCTGGGCTGGCTTTTTATAGAAGTAGCCACGCCTCCTGACTTTTGGTCAGGTGAGAGGGCAGAGCCATGCTCTGTCCAAGAGAGCTTGCGGAGGGGCTCTTCCCCCTCCATGTCAATTGGCAGCCACTCCCACTATGTATGAGTTGGGAGGCAGGTGAATACTGGCACCACAGGCTCATGGTGACTACTGCAATGAGATCTTGTATCGCCTGGAACCTTTGTGTTGATAGACTTTACTATGGAGTGGGCCTACCTATCAGGCGCCTATCAAGTCCAGAGTCTGTGATGGCTGAAGTGTGTATTTTTGATCGTTCATGATGAGCCCAAGGGAATATCTTTCTTGCTGTATTCATTGTTTCAAGTGCTTCTGAGAGAAGTGTCCTTTATTAGGTAATTATCAAGATAAGGGAAGATTATAATGCCCTGTCAATGAGGGTTTGCCACAACCATTGTGAGTGTCTTTGAAAACACCCTGGGTGCGGATGAGAGGCCAAAGGGTAGAATGCGATACTGGAAGTATTCTGCTGCTACTGTAGATCATAGGAACCATCTGTGAGCAGGATGGATGGGGACATGGAAATAGGCAACTTGTAGGTCAAGGACTGCAAACCAGTCCTTCTCATCCAAAGCTGGGATTATCAATGCGGCATTTGAAAGAGGGATGTACCTGAGACATATCAAAATTGCAAATGAAGCCGGGATTTGAATTTCCCATGCTTCATTTCCCTAATTGTGTCATGGCGCTTTTTTTTTTTTAAATACTATTTCGAAAGTGAAACCTGTAAACCTCATTTTTTGAATACAGGATCTTTCGAAAAAGGCTATCCTTTTCAAAAGAATCGCATCTACACCACGGTTTGACTTTCAAAATAGTGTTTTTTGAAAAAAACACGACACAGTTGTGCAAATGAAGTGCAGGAAATTCAAATCCCAGCTTCATTTGCAATTTCTATGTGTCTAATTTACATCCCTCTTTCAAAAGAAGCATGTAGTTTAAATGTACCCTGTGAATAACCATTTTGAACCTCTGTTTGCAAAGTTATTGGTTGAGTTAGCAACTGTCAAGAATGGGCCTCCAACCACCTGCCCTTTTCTTTTTGAGAAAACAGTAAGAGTAGAAGCCCTTGCCTCCGAACTCATCCGGTACCCTCTCTACTGCTCCGATGGAAAGGACGCAGTGGACCTCTTTCTTCAACAGGTCCTCATGAGAGGGGTTCCTGAAGAGGGACGGGGAGGGCAGGAAGGTGGGGAGGAGGGATGTAAATGGGATGGTATAACCAGATGCCGTGACTTCAAGGACCCAGCAGTCCAATGTAATGGTAACCGAGCAGTGATAGAATGGTCTCAAACAGTGGTGAAAAATGGGGACCTAGTCTTGGTGCAAACGTGCATGTCCTCAACTAATGCCTCAAACCTGCTGTTCTGTCAGCCTGACGACTAACAGTGTGGTTGTTTTCTGGACATCTCCTCTGAGGGTACTGTCTTACATGGGATTGGTCAAATCCCGTGCTGATACTGAGAATACAAAAAATCATGGTGCCTCTAGTACGCTGTGTACCATTTATGGTGATATTAGGCATATATACACACCATCCTGTATGTAAAGTTGATCTAGAGTCTTTACTTGCATGAAGAACCTTGCCGGCATTTTCTACAAGCAATTTTTGTTTGTTGAATGGGAGGGTCCTTTACTTTAGACTGTAGCTCTTTTAGGGCACCAGCTGCTTATAGCCAAGACACTCAGCTCATTACTATTGAGGTTGCAATGGACTGTGCTGCTGTGTCTGCGACATCAAAAGCCATTGGTAGGGCTACTCGTGCAGTTGTATAGCCCTTTTGGACAATCAACTTCGGGATCGGTCTTTCATTATCTTGTAGGTGATCCATTAGGCCGGTTAGTTTGGACTAATGATTAAAATCATGGTTCACCACGAGGGCAGAGTAATTTGCAAAGCAGAGCGGTAGAGTCGACAATCAATACATTTTTCTACCAAAGAGGCCCATGCGCTTACTTTGTCTGCTGCAGCATTCCTGTACTACAGTAATTTAGACCTCTGTTTGACCATGTCCCACAACCAATTTGGTTGGGGGTAGGAAAATAAGAAATCCATGCCTTTGGCAGAAACCAAGTACTTTTTGTCCGCTCATTTCTTGATGGGTGGGACAGAAGCTGCGGTCTGCCAGATTTCATCTGCCAATTCCATAATGTCTCCTTGATGGGCAATGCAGTTTTTGCTCGTTGAGAGGGTTGGAGGTTTTTGAGAAGACAACGTTGTTTCTCCTGTACTTCGGTCAGTTGAACTTCCTGACTAACAGCCACTCCTGTAAACAAGTCCTGAAACTGTTTCAGGTTATCTGTAGGTGAGGTATCACAATGGATCACTGCCTCGCCTGGAGACGAAGAGGATTGGTCAGTAAGTGTCAGATGGTTGTTCCTCAGAATCAGATATTTGTCCCTCCTCAAGCTCAGGTTATGGGGGAGGAGAGGCACTCCGATGAGGTAGAGTGATGGGTCGTCTATGGGCAGCGTAAACTGTAGACTGGTGTCTAGAAGTAGAGCAGTAGCAACATGGTGACCAATGTCTGGTGTAGGTTGGTGCTCATAGTATGACCTCATGAGGGAAGAATGTCTAGAAGAGAAAACACTCCTATGATTCTCATGTAAGGCAGTGTGTATTGATAGTGCCAGAGACCTCAGGGATCTGAGGAAGGAGAAGGAAACAGGGACAACTGCACTGCACCCCCGGAAGATACATGGTGGGGTCCCAGAGGATATGGAGAGACCAATCTATGTTGTCGCCTATGACTATCTTCATTTTGACCAGTAACGGAGTGCATCAGTGCCGGTGAAGTCAATGCCAGCAACAGCAATGACAGTGCCTGACAGAACATTAATAATTCCAGTCTAAGGGACTGGACTGTCTCCTTACTTGTGTTTGCATGGGCCTTGGATAGTGCCGCTGGTTTTCTCAACACCGATGGTGCCGGAGTAGAAGGCTGCGTGTCTCAGTTCCCAAGGTCTCGTTGGTACTGGTGCTGGTGCCAGCAGCAGTATCAGTGCCAGCAGTGGTGCCAGTGTGGAAGTGACACTGGTCAGTACCGATGTGCCGCACCATGGTTTTTGGTTCCATGGCATTCCTAGAATGGGAGGACTTGGTGCTGACATGGCTGGATGAAGTAGGGGATAGAGACTATGCAAGCAAGGCCCATTTCTTAGCTAAGGAGCCCAGGCCCGGGGAAGTGGCTCTTCGTTTCTCAGCCCTGATAGGAACAGGATCTTGAAGGTACTAATTCTGACAGTTGAAGCTCCTTATCAAATAGGAGCACGTGGATTCACATCTCCCTGTCTTGCTGTGTTCTAGTCATTGGTTTTGAACAATGAGGTCACTAAGATATATGGGGTTCCCTGAGGCACCTAATCCAAAAATGAATGCCCATGTGAGGTGGACACGGGCTCATTTTAAAACCAGGAAACCCTGGCATGATTTTTTGAGATGTTCTCGGCTATCCTCTCACTTGAATTAGAGGTGGTGTCCTGTTGTCTCTTGGTTTTTTTTTTTTTTTTTTTTTTTAAGCTGAAGCCTTCATAGCAGTCACCAGTTGCGTTTGTTTTGTGTTTTTTAAATGTCAACTAGAAAAAAAGGAAACTACTTGAACAATCTAACTATCAACTATAAACTAACTCTAACAGGCTAAACTACTAAACTAACTATCAAATTATTTTCTCTCACTAGATTCTCCAAGGAGAGGAACTCCTGCAACCGAGGGTGGCAATGAAGTAACTGGTAGGAGCCAGACCACATGAGCAAAGAGAAAGGCATGAATAGCATGAGGCACAAGCGCAGTCCAGCCAACTACTGCTGGGGAAAACTCCAAAATGCGGCGCCGGGACGACCCAACCCCAACAAACATAATATGACCCTGTAATGTATTTACAATAAAGTACATTCCCAGTCAAAAAAAAAAGTTAAAAGTCCACGAGAATGTAACATTAAGATTATATAGCTAGTCATAATTAAGTACAAAAATGCAATTATGGTTGAATGTTCAACCACAACTGTCACCATGAGCATACATTTTATAAAATTTTATACTATATTATGCTATACTAGTCATTATAAGATGATTTTTCTGTTCAAGATGGAGTTAAGCAGAAGAATATATATAGTAATCTAAGAATCAAGCATTCTTAATTACCTGAAACAACTAAGTCCATTCCACAGATTTTAAAAACAGGATAAACAGTCACTAGGATAATGCACTTAAACTCACACCAGTTTGGCTTTAGTTGAGTTAGTTCTAATTTATATCAGTGTAACTGTGACCACAAACAGGCACCAGGCTTTTCAGGGCATACTCTTGCACTCGTCAAGTGAGAAATCAGGTGACTACATTGTTTGGTTCCCCCCCCCCCACACACACACACTCTTCTTTCCATGATTCTGAACATTACATACCTGTACATATACACCCTTCAAGTTATGGGTGATGTCAATCTGCTAGTGTCAAGATTAAAAACAACTGCTTATTTGTTAAAATTAAAATATCTTGTAGAAGACCAGATCTGATGTTATGAAAAGCGAGATACAAAACAGACATGACCCTAGGCATCCCTGTATTCACATTAGATGCTACTGAAAAGTTTGGATAAAATACACCTTATCATGAATTCCCTGTATAAATTGTTACTATAACATATTTAAGACAATGCAGCCTATGCTAGGTAAAAGTGATAAACAGGTCTGTCCTAGACAAAAGATTGTAATTTTAATTCAATTTACAAATGAGATGTAAACTAAGTTATCACGCTACACCTCCAGAGGTTGTCTTGAGCCAGAATTTGACAGAAATAACATGGTCCCTGCATTACAGAGAGACACAGGAGAATGAATCTCCAGGTGGCCTTCCTAACTTTGAGAATAAAGCCAATATTGAGGGAATATCAATGACAGAGAAACTCCATCATTACCTTTTATATGTTAATACGAGTGAAGCTACCACCTTGTATTTTTGTAGAAGGTCCTGAGAGACATTCTATCCAAAGAATAATTGGCAAAAGAAACCATCCTAAAGACTGTATCTTGCTAAATTAGGTAATATACTTTTAGATGCATCTCTTCAATAGCTACTATCTTTACCTTTATTTCTTCTACTTGACATCACTTAACTTATATTCTGTTAATAAACTTGTTTTATTTTTCATCTAAATCAATCCAGTGCTGTGTTAGTACTGAAATAATTATTCATTCCAGTTAAACTGGTGGAGAGCTGGGTATTGTCTCTTTAAAATGAGCAAACAAACATTTCTCTGAGTAGTCCAGGAGAGTACTGCAGACTTCATGGCAGATGGTTTTGGGCAAATTTGGGACGAGAAGTGTGTTGGGACCATCTTGTCAGGTACAACCAAAATGGTGGAAACCAGGGGTGTGGCTGGCAAGATCTTGGGGCCTGAGACCTGAACAAAGTGTCACTTACTTGTAACTCATCATTCTAAATGTGATGCAAACATGTATTCTACTTAGGCGTAGGGGCATACAACCAGCACATCGAAGCTGGAAAACTTTCCAAGCAGTATTCTTAATCGTCACGCTCATGTCCCCTGCCCCAGCCCCTACCCTGGCCATATAAGTGTGGTATCACCCCACCTCCTCAATTCTTTCACACGTCAGAAGAACAGACTCTGATGCAGAAAACATGGAGGGGGATTTATGTAATACAACCTGCATCACATTTCTAAGAAAAACAATTATAGGTAAGTAAGCAACTTCAGACACTTCTGAAGAGTATATTGGCATATACTTGCATATTGGGCTACCTATGTGCATACACATATAGCCTAGCAACTGCAGACATATTCAGGCTATAGGTGAGGGTTCAGACTGCAGCTCCAGGAATCACTCAGTTGGAGGAAATATACGTCAACTCAGAGTCTTTCAGTCTCCCAATGAACTTGATTCTTTGAGTTGGAACCAATATTGACTTTCTGCTCTTTAGGATGAGACACAGAAGATCAAGTAGGTGTAGGGTGAAGTCAACATAACCGAGAACTTCCTCTCTGAACTTGACTCTTAAGTGTCCTTAAGGCTATGAAGCCTCAAGTCAGTATGCTCAGAGAACAAGGATTTCCCGTTGAATGGCAGATCTTGGATGGTATTCGGCACATCCAGAGGAATCCCTGAAACCTGTAGCCACATACTTGCATATTGGGCTACCTATGTGCATACACATATAGCCTAGCAACTGCAGACATATTCAGGCTATAGGTGAGGGTTCAGACTGCAGCTCCAGGAATCACTCAGTTGGAGGAAATATACGTCAACTCAGAGTCTTTCAGTCTCCCAATGAACTTGATTCTTTGAGTTGGAACCAATATTGACTTTCTGCTCTTTAGGATGAGACACAGAAGATCAAGTAGGTGTAGGGTGAAGTCAACATAACCGAGAACTTCCTCTCTGAACTTGACTCTTAAGTGTCCTTAAGGCTATGAAGCCTCAAGTCAGTATGCTCAGAGAACAAGGATTTCCCGTTGAATGGCAGATCTTGGATGGTATTCGGCACATCCAGAGGAATCCCTGAAACCTGTAGCCACACGCTCCTGCGCATGACCACACCGGAGGCCATGGTACAGGCAGCAGAGTCCACAGCGTCCAGTGCTGCCTGTAGGGCTGTTTGAGCTATTATTCTCCCTTCCGTGGCCATAGCCAAAAAACTCCTGCCTGGAGTCCGGGGGCAACCTGTCCCGGAAATTGTCCATCATCTGCCACAATCCCTAGGCGTAGCAGCCCAACATCATCTGCTGATTAGCAATGCACAACTAGTCACCCCCTGTGGTATAGACCTTATGTCCCATAAGGTCAAGGCGCTTGGGCTCCCTGGATTTTGGCCTAGGCCCCATCAGCCCCTATCTCTCCTTTTGAGTAGCCGACTGCACCACCAGGGAACCTGAGACAGGGTAGGAATACAGGTGCTCATTCCCCGACAGGGGAACAAAATACTTGTTTTTGAGCCCTTTCTGAGTGGGTGTAATAGAGGCCGGGGTCTGCCTCAAGGTATTTGTGATCTTAGCCACAGTTTTATTCAAATACAAAGCCAGCTTAGCCTGGGCATCCACATTGAGGATGTCCATCATGGGGTCAGTGTCCTCTGTCATTGGCTTTGCTTGTACCCTCAAATTCGCCACCAACCTGCAGCGCAATTCCCGGTGTGCCCGTGCATCCAGATGGCATTGATGGTGCCGGGTCTGCCAGGGCTTCGTCTGGAGAGAACAAAGAGGACTCCCAAGTGGATGCAGGGTCGTCCAACACCTCAGGAGACTGGGTGGCTTGAGGGGGCTCCATGTCGGGGGAGATGGGTTCACTGCGGGGACTTCCTCCACTGCCAGCTTCTGTCTGAGGGCTGTCCACTCTAGTCACATCAGGGGGTCCCGACACAGAGGCCGATAGAGTGCTTCTTTGGTGCGAGACACTAGATCCCCGTGACGGTGGCATGGGCCTCTGCCACTGGTGATAGGCCCAAAGTGTCCGGGCCTGTGGGGGCCAAGTCTGCTGGAACTTGGATGGTCTGGGACGGTGCCAAGAAGAAGTTCTAGATGAAGCAAAGGAGTGCATCGACTCAGGCTCCGACTCAGAAGAGTAGTCAGAGGCAGACAATGGCAGTGTCATGGATGGTGCCGTACAGATGTGATATTGTCTTTACCTCTCCACAGAATCCGGCTTCCCCATATGGGCATGTCTGGGCGGTCCCATCGCAGTCGGTGCTGGAGCACTGGTGCCAGAGACCTGCTGCACTGGGCTAGGCACGGCAATCGTAGGTGGTGCCGACGAATGACGGGCGCTCTGTGGAGGGGGCAACCTGCTATACTGGTGTCACCCCCGGTGCCGCAGGCGAAAGCTCCTCAGGGTGCGGCGATGATGGAGGCGAAGCTGTTAGCTCAATCAGCTCCTGTGCTGCCTCAAAGGTCTCTGGAGGTGGATGGGCAGTGCACAGGGATCTGTCCTGGACTCTGTCTGCATGCAGGACCATCTCTTCTTCTCTGCGCACCAGCATCCTGACTACATCTGGGAGAGTCCAGGGTTGGTGACTGAGAGCAGTGCCGGCTGCCATGCGTCTTGCGGCTAGGTGATCTGACCCTCATTTCTTTCCTCTTCTTCAGCACCGGAGACTGGGACTGGTGCCTCAGTGCCAAAGTTTTCAGTACCACGGTACGGGAAAGTCCCGGTTGGGGCTCCTGCACCAAGGCTGGTGCACTGCTCACCACAGCGTCTCGGGATGGTGCCGATTGGAGAGCCGACTCCATCAGTAACAATTTTAAGCAGGAATCCCTCTCCCACTTTGTTCTAGGTTTAAAACTCCTGCAGATCTTACAGGAGTCAGTAAGTTGAGACTCTCCCAGACACTTTAGACATGAGTCATGGAGGTCTCCTATAGGCATCGGCTTCACGCAGGATGCACAGGGTTTAAAGCCGTGCGGGCCTGGCATCCTCCTCCCCCAGAGGGGAGAGTTAACCAATGATTGCGAACTAGAACTAACTAAACTAACACTGATAAAAAAAACTATTTACAGACAAACAACTATTGCTGGGTTTTATCACAAGAACAAGAGAAGCTCTAACAACCATGATGGGCGGTAAGAAGGAACTGAGGAGGGGGAGGGCCGTCAGGGGGTACTTATGCTCCATTATTGTGGCATCACTCCAGGGGGCGACCTGCCGGCCAGACAGGTGCCGCTGGGGGAAAAAACACTCCAGAAACAATGCACGTGCACACACCTTATTAGAATGCACATGAGCCATCACTCGAAGAAGAACCTCCCATAGCTCAGAAGAATTGATATGTGGAAGTAAGTATTCTGCAGGTACACAGCAGCAAACCAAAGACTGTGATTTAAGGCATAAAGGACAGCTGATGTGAGATTCTGTATGATCATCCTATTTCAGATATATTTGTTGATATCACAGAGGTCAAAGACTGTTTTCAGTCCTCCCTGGAGAGGCCCTGTTCCTGATATTACCAGGAAACCTCCTCTCTAGCTCCCAGAGCCAAATAAGACTAAACATACTTGAAGAGCAGATTCTCATGAGAAGGATCCCTGAAAAGGCATTGAGTGGGGAGGATAATGGAGATAAACAGTACTGCATAACCCAGTCTAACAGTGCTTAAGACAGCTTTCCATGGTAATGGAGTTCCAGACGTGATTAAAAATGAGCTAGCCAATGCCAAAACACAGAGAAAGAAGATGCAGAGTCATCACTGGGTTACTCTCCTGGACACAAGAGTCACAATAGATGCTTGCTAGAAGCTGGGATGAGAGGAAAAAGGGGCAGAGAGAAGGGAGTGGTGGCAGAACCAGAGGATCATCTTTTGAGATTCATCGCTCAAGGTTCCTCTGAGTCCTATGATTTTATGGTATTTACAGACCAACACCTATTGGATCCCAGTGCACATTTGCAGGGAATAAAAGTATAAATCTTCCTCACCAGTAACTCCCTCCTTTTGGATTCTTATCCTTAGGGCTCGACAAATAATGTAATCTATTCATCCGTGGCGAGTAGATTACAACCCAGAAGAGCCGGCGCAGAGCGATCTGCGCATGCACAGAGTGCAGAACTGCACGGCTGGCAAGCGGGGCTCACCGCTGCTTGGCGAGCCCTGCTTATCCTTATTGATGGACTTATACCTAGCTAGCCATGCCCTTTCTTTTGCTGCTGTTACCATCGGAGAGGTAGGGTACAGGTAGGAGAAGAAACCCTCAAAACCTGGCCTGGCCTCAAAACCCTTCTCTGAACACTTTGCTATAAGAGGCAATGAACCTGCAGTATACCAGAGGGCTTCTACTCTTCCTGCCCTCAGTCACTGATCAAGAGAAAGATTCTTGTATGGTCTAGCCATGCCCTTTCTTTTGCTGCTGTTACCATCGGAGAGGTAGGGTACAGGTAGGAGAAGAAACCCTCAAAACCTGGCCTGGCCTCAAAACCCTTCTCTGAACACTTTGCTATAAGAGGCAATGAACCTGCAGTATACCAGAGGGCTTCTACTCTTCCTGCCCTCAGTCACTGATCAAGAGAAAGATTCTTGTATGGTTCAGTCATCTAGCTGTAATGAAGTCCTGTTCTTGCAATACGGTGGTGGGGGGGGGGGGGGGGGGGGGAACGAGGGCACAGCAACAAGTTGAGCAGTAGCATGCAGCTAAAGTGGCCTAGATTGGGAGCCACTTTTAGCCCCAGGCATCCTGCTCTGGTATGGGCCAAGAAGTGGGACTCAGAGGCAAAGCAACATCAGAAGGCTTCCAAAGAAGGCACTAGGCACACAGATGAGGCTAGTGTGCACTGGGCCAAGAGCCCTGGTCCCAAATGAAGGATAGATGTCTATTTCCATACCCACAGTGAGCCAAGGTAGATCTGTGATGCCTCTCTCATAGCAAGGAGTAGGATGACTGCAACCTGGATCTTCAAGAGCCCTGGAGCTTCTCTGGTAGAAACAGAGCAAACACACAGATTAATCTCAAGTCCAACATGGGATGGCATCGGTGCTGAGAAATAAGGGATCAACACCAGCAGTACCAAATGAGAGAGTTTCACCTGGTACCAGGAAAAGCACCAGTGTTAAAGCTAAGGGCAATATTGAACTTGACATAGACATCTTATCACCAAGATGATGGTGCTGAAGGATGCACTAATATCGAAGACCATTTGGTGCCAAATCCAGTGTTAGCCTCAATTCCACATTCTGAGGCCCATGTGGTGCTCTGGTAACGGCAAACCCAGTAGCTCTGCAACACAACCACAAAATGCCAAGGATACAACAGAGGCCAAAGGTGTAGAAGCCATAGTACCAGCCAATTCTTGAACCAGTAGAGAGATTGAGACAGATTCAAAGCAGGTAGATGCTGCTTGGTATGTTGACAGTATGGAGGGAGTTGCCTGGTGCCAACTTCATCAGTACCAGACTTACTGAATGGCCCATGGCCAGAATCAAAATACAGGCTCTCTGAGTGGTACCAGGGAACAGTGTGATGACACTTGCTTCATTCTGATGGCTGTAAGGAAGCACACTACTCCTCTTAGAAGATCAGGGAGAAGTCTCCCCAAGCCTTAGAATGGTTGTGATTCAATTTATATGATCTGGTTCTTGCCTACCAGACAGGGGGAAAACATCCTCTTTTCCCTTCAGGGAAATGCCAGAGCTCAAGCATGGAGCAGAATCACAAGCCAGATCTGAAGGTGAATACTCATCTGGCACTGAAGTCATTTAAGTAGAGTTACATGCTTGTCTCACTACCTGAATCCTCACTATGAATGTCTTTCAGATGGTGCCCCCTCTTTATTGCGTCCTTCACCTTTTGTGGGACTCATTCTTGAGGATATTGTCACCACGCAATGGAAAATACTTTATTTCTGGTGAAGGTATTAAACAAGGCAGCCAACTATTTAAAATGCTAAACTTAATCTAAGAGCTATATATAAGAAACATTTATTAGAAATTGAAACCAAAAGCACAAGGTGAAAAACACCACACTGACCTCGGAATCTAGTCACAGATGGACAGAGCGAATTGAGTGCGTTAGGACCAGGGATGTTAAATTGCATTTAATCTGCTAATCGAGTAGTCAAGGGAATTTCCATTGACTACTCAATTAGTCAAGAAAGGGGAAAACTGCAGTGCTCCCGGTCTCACGAGCTAATGCCACTGCACTCTGCCTTTTAAATGCATTAAGAGCCTCCATGCTCTTCATGTATTCCAAGGCACAGGTGTAACTAGGGGACTGGCACGAGCCGGGAATCAGCTGATCAGTGATTTGGGATGCAGGACTGCAGATTCTGTAATGTAAAAACATACATTTGTGCAGTTCTACAGCTAGAAAGCTGGAATAAAGGAGGAACGCAGCCCCGTGGCTACAAGGCTTAGTGCACTCCTGTGGAACTGTGCTTCTGGCCCCTGGCCTTTGGGGGCACTCCACAATTAAGGATGTTAAGTAGTGAGTAAATGACTAATTGTGTAGTAAATACAAATTGTATTGAGTATATGATTAGTTGATAAAGGGCATGCAGGCAGCCCAGCTCCTATTACATTTAAACTGCAAAGCTGCAGCTGGGGTAAGTCTGGGATCTGACGTGAGCCAGGACTATAGCAGTCTGGACTGCTGTGCCTCTGCCTCTCCTGCCGCCCCCTGGCTTTTAAGCCAGCACCCCCCAGCACTGGCTTCTGCTCCTCCCACTTTGCTGCCTCAACGGGGGAAGGGAGGGGAGAGGAAGAGCGACTAGTCAAGTCACCACTAGACTACAGATAAGCATATGCTTATAAAGTATCTGAACAGTTGTTTATATCCCTAGTTAGGACTGCACTGCCCTTATATAGGAAGGGAAGGGGCTAGAGTCACAGAGTAGAAATATGCTCCTATGGGTACTGCGAGACAAAGTTTTCCACCTCCTGTGAATTGAATATGTATACAATCAAGTAGAATACTCAATGAATGATTAGGGGTCTAGAGCACATGACTTATAAGGACAGGCTGAAGGAACGGAGTTTGTTTAGTCTGCAGGAGAGAAGTATGAGGGAGGATTTGATAGCAGCCTTCAAACTACTTGAGGGTATGTCTACACTACAGAGTTAGTTCGAACTAACAGAACTTAATTCGAACTAACGGAGCGCTTAGTTCAAACTAGGTAAACCTCATTTTACGAGGATTAAATTTGATAGCAGCCTTCAAACTACTTGAGGGTATGTCTACACTACAGAGTTAGTTCGAACTAACAGAACTTAATTCGAACTAACGGAGCGCTTAGTTCAAACTAGGTAAACCTCATTTTACGAGGATTAAGCCTAGTTCGAACTAGCTAGTTCGAATT